TTTAATAAGCAATAACATTTTTTAGTGAGATGACAAAATAAACTTCCTCCCTTGGTTATTTTAAGGGTACATTTCACTTACTGTGTTTGTGGGACTTTTATTTTGAAAACGCTAGCGCCAATTTGTTATTCAAACTGGCCTCAGGACGCAAAATGCAAGATTTACAGATGATACGTTTATTCATCTCCACTCTGAAGAGGCATAAGGTATGTTTAGTTACCTCTTTTGTTAATTTATCGTGTTTAAAGTGAAATTTGATACGTATGTTTTACACAAACATATGTAGACTGCTGAATCGTGTCAAATCACTCCGCTCAACTGTCAAATTTCATGAAGAGGTTAATACTAAATCCTGTCTTCTTTGACTATAACTTCAAAATACAATGCGATACATTTTTATCACTCTCTTTTGTCAAGTTTAATTATAATTTAGTCTTTCCACAGCTGATCTGGTGAGCAAAATAAGTTTACAATAGTCTGATTGGATTTATATTTCTCTCTCTCTCTCTCTCTCTCTCTCTCTCTCTCTCTCCTCTGTGCGTGTGTGTGTGTGTGTGTGAGAAGCAGCAGATCAGAGCAGAGTTCATTATTGTTCACGACACAAACAATATATGGTCAGTTATGGACCTTCTGATTCTTTGGGTATTTTATGGAGTAACGTTAATAAATGAGCTACCGTTTGAAGGGATATTTTTTCTTTATCAGAGAACAATTTAACTTCTTTAACCAATGCAGTATATGGCTCCTTTAAATCCCATTAATAATTTTAAGCGAGCATAACTGGCTGTTTTAAAACTGCTTTTCTGCATCTTGTGAACACTCTCAGTTTTACCTAAGAAAATGGTAAAGATTTGACTCTAAATCTGTTTTCCTGGCTAGATGCATAAACTACCCACATGAAAATGTACTGTAGTCATTTATATTAAATATTCTAGTGTTTCAAGACGTACTATAGTGAAATCTATCTATCTATCTATCTATCTATCTATCTATCTATCTATCTATCTATCTATCTATCTATCTATCTATCTTCCTATCTATCTATCTATCTATCTATCTATCTATCTATCTATCTATCTATCTATCTATCTATCTATCTATCTATCTATCTATCTATCTATCTATCTATCTATATTTCTTCCTATCTATCTATCTATCTATCTATCTATCTATCTATCTATCTATCTATCTATCTATCTATCTATCTATCTATCTATCTATCTATATTTCTTCCTATCTATCTATCTATCTATCTATCTATCTATCTATCTATCTATCTATCTATCTATCTATCTATCTATCTATCTATCTATCTATCTATCTATCTATCTATATTTCTTCCTATCTATCTATCTATCTATCTATCTATCTATCTATCTATCTATCTATCTATCTATCTATCTATCTATCTATCTATCTATCTATCTATCTATCTATCTATCTATCTATCTATCTATCTATCTATCTATCTATCTATCTATCTATCTATCTATCTATCTATCTATATTTCTTCCTATCTATCTATCTATCTATCTATCTATCTATCTATCTATCTATCTATCTATCTATCTATCTATCTATCTATCTATCTATCTATCTATCTATCTATCTATCTATCTATCTATATTTTTCCTATCTATCTATCTATCTATCTATCTATCTATCTATCTATCTATCTATCTATCTATCTATCTATCTATCTATCTATCTATCTATCTATCTATCTATCTATATTTCTTCCTATCTATCTATCTATCTATCTATCTATCTATCTATCTATCTATCTATCTATCTATCTATCTATCTATCTATCTATCTATCTATCATCTACTATCTATCTATCTATCTATCTATCTATCTATCTATCTATCTATCTATCTATCTATCTATCTATCTATCTATCTATCTATCTATCTATCTATCTATCTATCATCTACTATCTATCTATCTATCTATCTATCTATCTATCTATCTATCTATCTATCTATCTATCTATCTATCTATCTATCTATCTATCTATCTATCTATCTATCTATCTATCTATCTTACAGTATTTACCACTCTTTGTTAATGAATGCTGCAATTAAACTGTAAACCTGTTATAAATTGGAACTGTTAGGTTGACAACTTAATTTTTTAATTAAGCACAGTTAATTTACTTGATAATATGGGTTTACTCACTTTAAGTCGACTAATCCCTTTTTAAAATGTATAGTGAGCTGATAATTACTGTAATAAATACTGTATTATACTTTAGTTTTACTACTGTAGTTTTACTACAGTAAATAGTGGTGTGTTGTTGTAGTATAATATACTTGTATAAAACCGCAGTATTAGTTAATTTGTTGCTATGGTGATACAACTGTAGTAATAGTAACTTTAGAATTACCTCAACAGATTAATACATGTACTTTACTTCTTTACTTTACTACTATAAGTGGTTATAGCAGTTTTTCATGTGGGATACTACAAGTTTTAGGGTGTTTTAAAGAATTTTTGTTTTATTAATTATTTAATTCATTAATTTCCCTACAGCTTAGTCCCTTATTTATCAGGGGTTGCCACAGTGAAATGAACCGCTAACTATTCCACTCATATTCCACTAATACACTAGGGGCGATTTAGTTTATTGAATTCACCTATAGTGCATGTCTTTGGACTATAGGGGAAACCGGAGCACACGGAGGAAACCCACGCCAAGACAGGGAGAACATGCAAACTCCACACAGAAATGCCAACTGGCCCAGCCGTAACTCGAACTAGAAACCCTTTTGCTGTGAGGTGTTAGTGCTAACCACTGAGCCACCATGCCGCCTAGTAAATATTTGTTATCACAATTTATTTTTTAGTGGACATGAAAAACTCAAATCTGGGAATGATTAAAATCTTATTATACAGTTGTAGTTGTATATCTGAATATACTGTTGTAGAATTAGAATACCAATTATAGATATTTAATAATGAAGATGTATTTATTTTACGTTTAACCATTTATGTTTTAAGTGAATTATATTTGTTATGTTTTTCATTCATAATGCATTAGCCAATGCTTAAAAAGCTGGCATGACAATAAGCCTGAAGTTAACAACACTAATACATATTAATACAAGTGTAAAAGTAGGTAAATTTTTAGAAAATGTAAATAATAAGTGATATTAACTTACAGAGCCCTCGAGTTCAATTCCAGAATGCTGTTCTTTGTGCATCTCCCATTGAACAGCACAAACTGTGAAGAAAACGGCTATAAATTTAGCACATACTAAATGTAAAAATAGCCCTAAAATTGCTTTACAAGCTCAATTAACCTGGAAAAAATAGACTGATAAAAATGAATCTGCTGATTTTTACCAGAGGAGATGAGCAGGGTGAGCAGGATGATACCGCGCAGCATCTTGTTTGCCAAAGAGTTGAAACACAATGATACTAAAATGTCTTGTTTGCTGCAGTTTTTGGTGGCAAACACCTCCTTTGTTCAACCAAAAACCACACTCATTGCGAAGCGAGATTTATAAATAACCTGCTAACTCTTAACACCCTTGACTTGATAAAGCCTTTTTTTAATCTTCCTGTTTGTTATACTGGTTTTAAATAATAATGCATATATTATAGAGCAAAGTATAGCGATAATGTTGCACCAATAAAACCAGGGTTTTTGCAAGCATGCAATGTATAAAGTTAACTTGTTCATTTGTCTAGGTCACTTTTTTATGCTACAGGCCTTGAATGCAACTATATGCATGCAAAATGCAGCATCATAATTGTGTGTGTGTGTGTGTGTGTGTGTGTGTGTGTGTGTGTGTGTGTGTGTGTGTGTGTGTGTGTGTGTATATATATATATATGAGCAATTCCATGCAAATGTCAACCTTGCCATGAAAAAAATTAAGTTTTTACTAAAATACAAAAACCGTTTTTGGGTTTTTTGGGAAAACAGGTATTTTACAGTACTTTAGAAATACTCAAAAATGCATCTGTCAATGTTTTCAAGCTATTCTATTTGATTTACCAAAGTCACACAAGTGGCATTTTCACATCTGTCACATCCATAACAGAGAGATGTCACATCCATAACGACCCTTTTTACACATAAATGTCAAAATATTAAATAAAATAAAAACAATCATTTTTGTTTTATAGAGAGCCAACTCTTATCCTTTTGATTATTATTGTTTCTTTTGGGTTGTGCAGTTTAATTCACAGAATATCTACAAAGTATGTTATAGACTGTACACCCGCAGACTTTTTTTTGTCTCATCCATAACGCATGTTTGTTTTTCCACATTTAAAGTACAAAACATGTTTATAGATTGATATTTTTCTGGTCCCTTAACTCTGTGGTCAGTTGTTCTGGAAAATATAACAAAAGTTTCAATATAATGTTAACATGTACTTTCTCTGTGAATTTATGTTTTGAGTTTTTTTTACTGCAAATGTCACATCCATAACACGCTGGAATTGCTCATATATATATATATATATATATATATATATATATATATATATATATATATATATATATATATATATATATATATATGTGGCAGAATCATTTGCAAATATCAGATTTGTATGGCTATTTTTAGACTAACGCCACTGTAGCTATTTCATAGAAGATTATAGGTAAATCTCTTTTACTCACTCTCTTCTATATTTGTATTGACTTTCAAGAAGAGGGTGTTACTTTAACTTGAGGACCTGTCCTTTAACTTGAGGTTTTCACACTTTTGCACAGTCATTTTGCACTGAAGCCATATCTCCAATCTACAAAGTTGCACCACTGCCAACCAATAACTGCCATTGATATTGAACACTATTACACTAAACATTAGTTGCGACATTCCATGGTATGTTAATCATTCATCAGAAAAATCGACCTTCTGCCACTTTTTCAAATGATCAACTTGAAGTCAAGTTATTATTTGTTGCTCTCACAACTGGGATCGATGACAAGACTTTTATCAGGTAGTGTAGTGTTTATTGGCTAATCGCAATTGGCTAAACTCCAGAAATTATGAGTTTGGAATGGGTGTGAGATATCAATGCATGTGTGGTGTGGTTGTATTGGAGAAGTCAAATACAAATTCAAGCATTTGTTCTATTTGTAAATGTATATCAACAACACATCAACCTTTGCTTCACACATTTTATTGCAGACAAAACGATGAGACAAACCCGCAGAAAGCTCATATATAAAATCACAATGATCACACCATTGGCTCCGGTGCACTCTGCTAAATTTGATCAGCTTTCCCAGCTAAAGCGAAACACTCTTTATTGCTTGCATTTCTTCAATGAATCAGTTGATTCTTCAGCATAATAAAGCCCAAAGGCTCATTAGCACACACCGATATTAACACAGATAGTTTTAGTACGATCATCAGTGGAAAGTTCTTCAGTCAGAACGTCCATGTACTTGTTCACAAACCACCTGCACAGAGACTTAAGGAACCCGATCCCATCACAGACAATCGCCAGCTGATTTTTAATATCATCCTGTAACAAACCCAAGCAGAATTAACGTCAATTGTTTATATACTCTATAATACTGAAGTTCCTGTATTAGAATAAGATGAATGTATTAATGAAATTGTTCACCCAAAAAATGTAATTCTGTCATCATTCACTCGCCTTGGTTCAACACTATTTGCATTTCTTGAACACAAAAGAAGATCATTTGAAAAATGGTAACCATTAGCCGCATTTCCACTGTCGGGCCAGTGCGAGCCAGGGCTTTAATTGAGCTGGGCCGGGCCAATCGCCAGGGAGATTGAGCAGTGGGGCCGAAATCATGTCGCGTTTCCACTGTCGGGCTAGTAGCTCACAGCGCGTCATGCAAACGCCGCCCCCAGAACATCCCCCATATCAAACGTCACACAACTTGCCCACTTCAGCGGGAATCAGGTAGATAAAGCACACCATCACATCATCCCGTGATCATTCAGCACATAAGAGCAAGTGATAAAATATAGCCTATATTTCGTTGCGCTCGGCAGCTTTTCACTACTAAAGCTTTTCATTTAAATTTCATTTTTCAATTTTAGCTTGTCTTATAAAAACATCAACACTTGTTTGAGGACACAGAACACTTTTGTAGTTTCCCCAGTGCATTTTTAAAGCGATGCTGCGCAGGACAGAAAAAAAAAGGTAGCGTAGTTTCTGCTTACACTCACCCAAAAAATGCTGTTTGCACGGACCTCAGCCTATAAGGCTAAATGTTTTTTTCCCCTTATTTATTTATTTGTTTATGTGTTTGGCGCATGTACTCGTGTGCGATCGGAAACAATAGTGTAATGACGGCAAGCCATCTTTTGCAGACTCGGGGCAAAGTCCGCCTCTCCTTTCACTCCGCCCTGAAGCCCCAGTTGGCCCTCCTTGGCCCCAAGGTATTCAGCCGTTGGTATTCGCTGGCCCCAAAAAGCCCAGCTTTGGCCTGATTAGGCCCCGGAAGTGAAAGTGGAAACGCGACTGGCCTTGGCTCGCCCTGGCTCGCTCGCTTTAGGCGCGATAGTGAAAACGCGGCAATTGACTTCCATAGTATTTGTTTTTAGTCTACTAGAGAAGTCAGGTTTTCAGCTTGTTTTCAAAATATCTTCTTTTTGTGATTTTGTTTAAGGTTTTAAAACCACACAAGAGTGAATAAATGGTGTTCATTTACATTTTAGGGTGAACTATCCCTTTAAAAGGGTGTTCTTTCTGAAGATTGACCTTAGTTGCTGTATTGGAGATATGTTGCCTCAGCTTTCCCATGGTCCACTTGCAAGCCCAGCATAGTCCAGGCAGTTGTTCCTTTGGAATTTCACCCTGACAAGACAACATGAAGCATGTTAGACTCAATGTCACTTAGAAACTATTTCATAACTGAAAACATGCATAACTAGCTGTTTCAAAACTGCTTCTTTGTATCTTGCAAACACTCGGTTTTATATCACACTGATAAAAATGATTCAACGATGATTTCTGGGATTTACTACATTTTTTAAGTTAGGTGGTTGTAAATTATTTCAAGAATTCACACTTAGCTCATGATTTAAACATAGCTTGTTTGGCATGCTGTCCCAGGAGAGAGCCCTGAGCACAAGGGATCCTCGGGCCCAGGGCTACCTCCCTTTTGCAGGGCGAGGGGAGATTGAGCTCAGGTCGGTCTCAATCCCCCCCCACCGGCTGCTGAGGCTAAGGTAAACTTCCTAAGACATTTACAAAAAGATTTAGGCACATTTTGTCTATAATATATATATTATATGCTTGAAGTTTCTGCCAACCCGACTCTACATCACAACTTTTCAATCTAGATGGACGGGGCAACCATTACTGCATCCAAAATGGTGAAAAGCCTTGGAGTAACGATTAATGACCAACTAAACTTCTCTGACCACATCTCTAGAACTGCTCGATTATGCAGATTTGCACTCTACAACATCAGAAAGATCCAACCCTTCCTATCTAAACATGCAGCTCAACTCCTTGTTCAAGCTCTTGTTCTCTCCATACTGGACTATTGCAACTCTCTACTAGCCGGGCTTCCAGCTAACTCTATCAAGCCTCTTCAGATGCTTCAGAAAGCAGCAGCACAAGTGGTCTTTAATAAACCTAAAAGAGCACATGTCACTCCGCTACTCATCCGTTTGCACTGGCTGCCAGTTGCTGCTTGCATCAAATTCAAAGCTCTGATGTTTGCTTACAAAGCCACTTCTGGCTTTGCTCCTTCTTATCTGCTCTCACTTCTGCAGATCTATGTGCCTTCCAGAAACTTGCGTTCTGTGAATGAATGTCGCCTCGTGGTTCCATCCCAACGAGGGAAGAAAACGCTTTCCGAACGCTCATGTTCAGTCTGCCCAGTTGGTGGAATAAACTCCCTAACTGCATCAGAACGGCAGAGTCACTCGCTGTCTTCAAAAAGCTACTAAAAACTCAACTATTTAGTCTCCACTTTCCTTACTAATATGCAACTCCCTCTCTTACTCCGCCACTAACTACAAAAAATAAATAAATAAATATTACTAATACTTTCCTTCTTAGACTTTACACACCTGAAACTTGCCTACAGCACTTATTCATTGTTGCTCTTATAGTTGTGTAAATTGTTTCCTTGCCCTCATTTGTAAGTCGCTTTGGATAAAAGCGTCTGCTAAATGACTAAATGTAAATGTAAATGTATATTTGGACAATGGGAGGAAACCGGGGAACCCAGGGGAAACCCACGCAGACACAAGGAGAACATTAATAAACTTCCGCATATGGATTCTAACACTCGTCTCAGCCTCCTCGTGGGCCAGCTGGGTCAATCATGTGTACGTCTCGAAATTGGTTTAATATTAAACTTCACTTATTTGGTCAATTTTAACAAATAAGTTTAGTTAAACATTACTAAATTTAATTTGTTTAAATTCAACCCTTATAAATTGTTTGCAGAAATTAGTTTTTTTTTCAGTGCAAAAAAATGGTAAAGATTTGGCACACTAGGGGTGTTATTTTAACGATCTAGATCTAAAGTCTAAAGTGCAAGGCGCAAAAGCAGTAAGGGTGTGTCCGAATCCACTTTTGTTATTTTAAGGACAGGGTTGTGCTTATTCTCTTAATGAGTTTTGGGTGTTTGAGCATAACCTATTTCTCATTCCCTTTAAGAGTCAGTTGCATCGGTTGCTATTTACATGGCGGACTTTGTTAGTGGAAAAACTAAATGCTTCACTAGCAAGAAAATAGTTAAACAAAGCATCTGCATCGCGAGAATAAAGAATAAGCCTCCTACATTCTTCCTCTTTATTTTCTCTTTACTTTTTACTTTACTCCTTTACTTGTCGATTAGGAAACGGTGTTGTACGCACTCCACTGAAGACATCAATTAGCCAATGTAATAGTTTAATGAACATACTTGACGCTATACCTACATTACAGCCTACATATTTAATTTCATTAGTTTAGACTGCTTACATGTGATGCTCTGTCTGTTTACATGTTGATGTCACTGCCTAAGCCCCTTAATAAACTTCCGCGTATGGATTATAACACTGTCTCAGCCTCCTCGTGGGCCAGCTGGGTCAATCATGTGCACGTCTCGAAATTGACAGAAAGAGCTACTACCGCAAAAAATTGTAAAGCGCTGAAGATGAGCATGAAGATAAGGCTGACAGATTTTGTTTTAGAAACCATGGCATCTAAAGTTACAAATAATGACACATCTTACTAGTGATCATGAGCTAAATGTTAATCCACCATCTACACTTTTCCAAGAGTAGAAGACTTCCATTGGCTTCAAGTCCGTGGGATGGAGTTTTCAGGTAACTGTTTGCCACATCTAGCACAAGAGCTTCTGTTTAATCCTTCATATAATCGCCAGATGCTGTCCGCCGTGCAAGTGGCAGATATATGTAAAATTGAACACCACGTGCACCATCGCAAACGGGCTTGCACTGAGTAAACTAACATCGCTACTCCTAAAAAGACCGGTATTGCTATTAACACGTATGCATCCAATATGGTACAGTATGTGTCAAAAGCATCAGTGCAAAATCAGACAGCACTTGTGAGAACAGCACAGTTATACCGTTAACAGATTCATTCAAGCAGTGCGTGCAGGGCCGGTGAGTGCTCCGTGAATGCTTTGGTGACTCAGTTATGTTATAAAAATGTATTTTCTTGTGATAACGGGATTTCGTTGTGACATATTTTCCTCACGCTTGCATGTATATATATTAATTTTTTTTTGCTTGTTAGTTTGATTAGTGTTGATTTCAAATACAATAAATATGTTTGTATAAAACTTGTAGTAACGGTGCTCATATATATAATATAATATAAATACTGTATATATTAAAACAGTTAATTTGTTTGTATTACCATATTTGTTGCAACTATAATTAATATAATTACCACAAATTACCAGTACTTTATTGTTTAAAAACACTATATAACAATATAAAAACAAAATATATCTTACTATAATTTACTACAGTATTTGACGTGGGAAAACTTAAATAAAACAGTTATTAGAAAATTAAGCAAATAAATGCTATTCTATCAATGGAGTAAAATATTATTTTAGTGTTATACATTTATTAAATGTAAAAAAATAGACATTTTTGTTTATTTCTGCAAAAAGTTTTAACCTTGCATTTTCATTTTTAATTTCAGCTCCATCAAATGTTTCAAAAGCAATCGAACGATGCAAAATGACAAATTTCCAAAATTTTTAACTATTTTTTTATTATTAATGGCAATATGCATTAATTTCATAAAACATCTTAATCGAAACACTGCTAACTCTAATGTGGAAGTGAAAAATAAGGTTTGTCTATTATAGTGGGACATAAATAACAGTGTTACTTTCGTTCCCACAGAAACTCTAAAACCTGATTTACTTTTAAACTGAAAAACTCAGACATTTCAAACCTAAAAATTTGTTATTGCACTAAATAATAACCTGTAAATTGATCATTAATGTGATGCATGAAAAGAAAAACACAAAAAAGGAAAAAAAGAAGCGCTATACAATTATGTACTCTCTGCATTAAAAAAAAAAAGAAAATTTGAAGCTCAAGGGTTGCATCCATAATGTGCTGTTATAGCCTGTAAAGCAAACTTCGAGACTTCGAAAAAATAGCTTTACCTTCGAGGACTTCGAGAAAATAGCTTTACCTTTATCCCACTTTCATCCCACTGCAAACCAATAACTGCCATTTGATATTAAACACTGTTACATTAAACATTATTATAGTCAGGGCATTCCAGGGTATGTTATTCCCAGTTAACAACCGCTTAAAAACTATACTTTTGGTCAAATATGAGAAAAAGTGTATTAGATATGTTTCAAATCCTAATTTTGTACCTATTATTGCACTATTATTTTTGTAATTAGAATTTACCTTTCTGTTTTGTGATACTTTTGTCCCACGTTACCTTCGTCCTTGCTTTATATTTATTTATATTAAGTTAATCGTAAAATGTATTGTACTAATAAAGTTGGCATGGGAATAAACCTAAAGACAATACCAACGACACTTATCTTACATGCTATTACATGTAGGTAAAATAAAGATAAAAAAATGAGATCATAAGTGATATTGACTCACAGAGCCTTCAAAGTCAAATTCCGGAAAGGGTTCTTTGTGCATCTCCAAGTGAGCAGCACAAGCTGTAAGGAAAAAGATTTAACACATATAAACGTTAAACTAAGAAAATAGGATGAATAAAAATGCATTATGGGCACATTAAAGATGGTTAAGACAGACTAATAGACTGATATAAGTGAATCTGATGGTTTTTACCAGAAGAGATGAGCAGGGTGAGCAGGACGATACCGCACAGCATCTTGTTTGCCAAAGAGTTGAAACAGAATGACACTGAAAGATCTTGTTTAGAGAAGTTTTTACGACCACGTTCAACCAAAACCCAAACACATTGCGAAGTGAGATCTATTTAAAAACTTGACAACTCTTAACACTTTAACTTGATACTTTAAATTATAATGCATATATTTTAAGGGGAGGTATGGTGACATGTTGCCCCAATAAAACCAGGGTTTTCACAACTCAAAAAAAACTTACTTTTTTTAAACCTTAATTGGTTGGTATGACAATATAGATTTTAAAAATGTGCACCTACTAAAGTGCCAACCTAGTAATAGAGTCATTTTGCATATCTGACTGAATGAAGCTGTATAATATGGAGTCAGATAAGACTCAAAAGTAATTCACACAAAAGACACAATGTACATATAGGGTAGATATATATATAGTGTAGAAAGTGCGGTGTGACAGCTGCTGTAATCAGTCAGCATTAGCTGACTACAAGTTTTGAAATCCACACAAAAGATAGAATGTCTAAACTCTTGCACAGCCCATTTTTCAGATTTCAGATTCAATTTGATTTCTCATATAATATAATATAATATAATATATATATATATATATATATATATATATATATATATATATATATATATATATATATAGTAACAAATTGGATATTTTTTGTTTTTCTCCTGTTGCGCTCAACAAACAAAAAATGAACAGAGAAGGGTCTCTGGACCTTAAGGTTAACTTTCTCCAAATTTCAGGAGGTAGATTATTGACTATAGATAATCATGCTGACACTACAAACCTCAAATTTGGTCTTTGCAATCAGAAATAATGTGCACCTAGCTGAGAGAGGTGGTGGGCCTGATCAACTCAATCTACTCTCTTACCTATTAGGCCGACCTTTGGCCAGCACCCAAATTTTGACTATAAAGGTGAGGGTTTCTTGCTGAAACATTGGAAGCTCAGCCATGGGATAAGCGCGCATCGCCCGGCATTCTCGGACACACGTGTTGGTTTTCCAATGTGACTGCAACGGGCTCCCCAGTCTTTGAAGAGGAAAATGATGGCACGTCTCTGAGGTTGTATATACTTGTAACAAATTGCTTGAAGTTTTCATTATCTGTCTTTTATTCATGTAATCTCATCTTTATTTCGCATTGTAAGCCTTTTATGCAATTTTGTCATATTTTGATTAATGATGTTCATGAGTATGATTCATGATTATTGAATATTATTGTGATAATTGATATCAGCTGTGTGTACCAGCAATAAACAGTTGTGTTGCTTGATTAGTATGGTGTATGGACCCTTATTGGTGCCTTCTCTTGTCGATTAGCACCACACTTGTCTCACTTGAGTAAAAATTTAAACCATACTAAAACCTTTTTGGTATGCTGAAACTATTTACATACTAAAATTTGGTACATACTAAAACATATACAGTTGAAGTCAGAATTATTAGCCCCGTTAAATTATTAGACCGCTTGTTTATTTTTTCCCCAATTTCTGTTTAAGGGAGGTAAGATTTTTTCAACACATTTCTAAACATAATAATTTTAATAACTCATTTCTAACAACTGATTTATTTTATCTTTGCCGTGATGACTTTAAATAATATTTTAAATGATATTTTTAAGACACTTCTATACTCAAGTACTATAGCTTAAAGTGACATTTAAAGGCTTAACTAGGTTAATTAAGTTAACTAGGCAGGTTAGGGGAATTGGGCAAGTTATTGTATAACAGTGGTTTGTTTTGTAGACTATCAAGAAAAAATAAAGAGGCTAATAATTTTGTCCCTAAAATGGTTCATAAAAAATTAAAAGCTGCTTTTATCCTAGCTGAAATAAAACAAATCAGACTTTCTCCAGAAGAAAAAATATTATCAGACATACTGTAAAAATGACCTTGCTTTGTTGAACACCATTTGGAAAATATTTAAAAAAGAAGAAAAAAAATCGAAGGGGGCTAATAATTCTGACTTCAACTGTATATATATTAGTTGAAGTCAGAATTATTAGCTTCCCTTTGTTTTTTTTTTTTATATTTCAATCACGGAGGAAGCTGTGTTTCGTTGTTTGTCGTATTTCTACTTGTTTTTCCCCAAATGTTCGAAAATCTCACTCTTAAACACTCTACCTGCCTGTACTCCAATCGCTGGCAGACTGGTGTCACTATAATCTTTTTGATTGTGAACAACAGCAAGAAAAAAAATAAACAGTCCATTTAAATTATTACATTTAAAACAGAGAAGCAGATCGGTATGACTTTACCAAATGCCTCATGCTTGCCGTGCTAAAACATTTGCCGTTGGTATGCAGAGGAATAATCTACTCTGAATGCTGCAGGTGTGAGAGACGGCTGTGGGGTACTGTGCTGCCTTGAGTGCTTTGAGGCAGGGAAGAGACCGACAACATCACCCGCAGCTCGTTGTCAAGAGTAATGTTAGGAAAGGCATCTTACAATTATTGTCACACAGAGACATTGTTATAGGTTATATGTGTGAAAATAGAAACAAATGATGGCTCAGCCGATGTAGCACTATGGTGCAGAGGTGCTTTTATTTACAGTGCAAAAAAAAACTAAAATGAAGTAGACAAAATATATATACAAAAAGTTTTTGCTTTCCAGACTCAATACTTCTAAACGCCAATACGCCACTACTCACACTCCAAACTTCTACGACTCCTTCGTAGCTTGTAGATGAGACCTTCTTCCCTTTTTGCTGGGCCGTTAAATAGGTCCTCATTACCGCTACTACGTCTTCCTCCATGGTGGTTGCACCTTGTGGGTCTCAAGTAGGACTAGATTTAGCCCCCTTCTCACCGGTTACCTCCGCCTTCTCATCCACTGTGTCCCATGCAACATTTTCCATTGCTGTTTTATTTTTCTGGGATCTCAGACCCTTCCTTGTCTGTTTTCCAGAATGCACTGATTTTCGACTTGCCATCCCACTTCTGACACCACTTGTTATGGAGACGACTTTTTTCAGGTCTCAAACCTTTCAATGCTTCAAAAAAAAATTGTAAAAATGGCAACGTTAAAATAGCACAATAGTGCAAAGCGTTTTTGTTTACAGTGCTCAGTGAAAAAATCCCCAAAATAATAACCAGCAAAAAAAAAACATCTTTGCAAGACAAGTAGCTCTTGGCTTACGTTTTTTTTCTACGAATAAAGAAATATGTTTACTCAACTTACTGCTCCACACAACTCCATAACCTACTTCTACAGCCCACCAGTTGCAACCACCATAGAGGAAGATGTAGTAGCGATAATGAAAACCTTTTGAATGGGCCATCAAAAAAAGAAAGAAGGTCTTATTTATGAGCTACGGGGGAGTCGTAGGAGTTAGGAGAGTGAGTAGTGGCATAACGGTGTTTAGAAGTACTGAGCCTGGAAAGCAAACACTTTGTATATATTTGTTTTGTTACTTAACTGCCTTTATTTATTTATTTTGTTGTTTGTTTGTTTTTGTATATATATTTTGTCCTATTTTTGGGGTGATTTTGGGATTGGCCTCTTTTGCACTGTAAAGAAAAGCACCTCTGTATCATAGTGCTACGTCAGCTGAGCCATCATTTGTTTCTTGTTTCACAGTTATAGACAGATTTTACAACGTAGAAAATGTATTAAAGGGCTATATGATTAATATAGGCTTCTTAGCATTGGTCAGGGCCCCTTATTTCCCGGGGCCCTAAGCGGCTGCTTACCTTGCTTATTGGTTAAGCCCACCCCTGCACGCCCCCATACTGAATGTCAGGCCCGGATTGGCTAATCGGGAGAACCGGGAGAATTCCCGGTGGGCCGGTCCGTTTTTTGGCCACGAGGGCTGGTGTCCCTAGCTGCTTGCACTCTCTGCAGTTGCACTTTTTTCATTTAATTGTTTATTCGACCATAGCCTCACTCTTTTTATTCATTAATTTGCCGCAGCTCCGCTCTTTTTATTTATTTTCTCGCAGCCCTGTGAGCAAAATGCAGCCCGCAGGTTAATGATCATTGTTGTTAGCACGTTGCGTTACGACGCTGCCGATCCGAGTTCGAACCTCACCAGAGTATAATATATATTTTTCATTTTCAGTGTTAAGAAGTAAAAACTGTTTGGGTTACTTATGTAGAACTTCAAAAACATTTGAAGTTGTAAAGCAGCTCTGTTCTTGAAAAAGACATGTTAGTGTTAGTTGAAACTGAATTGGAAATAACGTTATTTTAATATAGTCAGTCGTCGACTGAGGTGGGCCGGTGTAAGGCTTGCAACTCGGAGTCCCACTCCGGCCCTGCTGAATGTATCCCCAAACCCTGATTTTTCCTTCATCAAACTTGACTGGTTTCTGTGAGAATCTTGTGTCCATGCGGGTTCCAGTAGGTCTTCTGCAGTATTTGCGATGATTGGGATGCAGCTCAACAGATGATTCATCAGAAAAATCTACAGTCTGCCGCTTTTCTGAATCATCAACTAGAAGTCAAGTTATTATTTGTTGCTCTTACAACTGGGATCGATGACAAGACTTTTATCAGGTAGTGTAGTGTTTATGCAGATTACTTTATTGCTGCATATTTGGCTTAATTCCAGAAATTATGCGTTTGAGTTTTAAATGGGCTTGAGATATCAATGCATGTGTGGTGTGGTTGTATTGGAGAAGTCAAACACAAATTCAAGCATTGGTTCTATTTGTAAATGTATATCAACAACACATCAACCTTTGCTTCACACATTTTATTGCAGACAAAACGATGAGACAAACCCGCAGAAAGCTCATATATAAAATCACAATGATCACACCATTGGCTCCGGTGCACTCTGCTAAATTTGATCAGCTTTCCCAGCTAAAGCGAAACACTCTTTATGTCTTGCATTTCTTCAATGAATCAGTTGATTCTTCAGCATAATAAAGCCCAAAGGCTCATTAGCACACATGGAGATGAGAACAGATAGTTCTAGGACCATCAGTAGTGGAAAGTTCTTCGGTCAGAATGTCCATGTACTTTTTCACAAACCACCTGCACAGAGGTCTAAGGAACCCGATCCCATCACAGACCTGCGCCAGCTGATTTTTAATTTCCTCCTGTAACAAACCCAAGCAGAATTAACGTCAATTGTTTATATATTCCTGTATTAGAATAAGATCAATGTAATAATGAAATTGTTCACACAAAAATGTAATTATGTCATCATTCACTTATCTTGTTCTAACACAAAAGAAGATATTTTAAAGAATGTTGGAAAACGGTAACCATTGACATCCATAGTATTTGTTTTTAGTCTACTAGAGAAGTCAGGTTTTCAGCTTGTTTTCAAAATATCTTCGTTTTGTGATTTTGTGTAAGGTTTTAAAACCACACAAGAGTGAATAAATGGTGTTCATTTACATTTTTGGGTGAACGATCCCTTTAAAAGGGTGTTCTTTCTGAAGATTGACCTTATTTGCTGTATTGGAGATATGTTGCCTCAGCTTTCCCATGGCCCAC